TTTTGTTGTTGATGGTTTGCAGTGCTGGGACTAGAACCCAGGACCTTGTGTATGTTGGGTAAACTCTCCCACTGAGCTACATTCCTAGCCCCACCATAGAATTTAAATTCTAGAAACCCAAGGACTTAAGAGTGAATTAATTCATAATGACACGTTCAGGCCTAGACTCAGTGAACACTGGAATACTTGTTAATGTTAGGAAGGGAGGCTTCTTCGCGATGCTGTGGTGCAAGGCTTGGTTACGGGCTTATTGCTAATGTGCTTTCCGCTTTGCTTCACACCCCACTGTGCATAGGCGATGAGCGTGGGTAAAGGGAAGGTTGAAGGCCATATGATTGAGCTCTATTCACTTGACAGATATGGCGCATTGTCTTCAGATTTTAGGATGAAACTGGTGGTGGGGGCAAGGAACCACCTGTTTTGCCCATTTTCATAGACTTCCAGAGAAAACGGCACTCCTTTGGATCAGCAGAGCCTAGCCTGGGAAGAGCCCTGCCAGCTGAGTGTGTGGTTGTCCGGCGCACCCTCTTCCTAGGGCAGCCTGGGCCATCAGGGTAATGTGGGGAGGAAGCTTCAGAGACCAGGAATGTGGTTCCCACCCATGTTACTTTCCACAGGGAACTCCTGTTTGTCTTCCCCAGATACTGATATGTATCCTGCAAGCGAGTTTTAAAAACCAGACACCATTTGGGTTATCAAATGACCGTCCAGATGGATGTTTCTCTTGGGAACGCCTGGATACCAAGAAGCACTTGAGCTCTTGGTTTTAGAAGTCTCCTGAAGCCTTCCCGGCAGGGAAGAAGTGACCATAACTTCACCCTGTATGTGCTTTTCTGCTTGACTCTTCATGTGTGTCTGGATACCTGTGATGGTCTTCCCTCAGCCCAAACTCTGGGGTGCATATTTTCTCTCTAGGGATAGGCCAAAAATAGTACCCATGGCAGCATGTCCATATTTTCTCAAGTTCTTTAAGTCTATTACACTGAATTTTGGGTTGGGCAAAATAATGCACTTTTTTTTTTAATAAGTGAAGAAATAGATGTTTGGGAGTGTGTTAGTTTAGGTTTTTATTTGCATCTGTAGTGCCAAAGACTTAGAAAATGGTGCAGGTAGATTTTTATTTATTTGTTTCTTTTAAAAAAATGTATAGATATTGGCGTGTTAGTAAAAGCATGCATATAAAAAGTGTATTTAGTGAAAACCAATACCACCAACCTTGAGTCATTTTGCAGCCAGGATACATGTAAGTAAGTGTGTGCTTTGATTGTCCTGATGCTTTGATAAAATATCCTGACAAAAATAAACTTAGCAAAGGGTTATTTTGGTTCACAGGTCCACTGATAGTCCACCATGACAGGGTGATTGTGGCAGCAGGCGGTTGAGACAGCTGCTTACATTGCACCCACAGAGCAGAGAGTGTCCTGGTGCTCAGCCTACTTTCTCCTTTTTGTATAGTCCAGAACCACAACCCAGGGAATGGTGCCACCCACAGTAGGCTGGTCTTCCCACCTCAGTTATCCAAATCACAGGCATGCCTGCGGGCTCATCTCCCAGTTGACTCTAGAGCTCATTGAGTTGGCTCTTGAGATGTCACTAACCATCACATTTGAGTGTTCTGCTTGTGTAGCAATCACACAACGCAGCACAGAATGTCAGAGGAGGGATTTCTTGTGTGCAGTCTGGTGGTGTTGGTTACAGGACAAGTGTTAGCTTTCCCCGTGACTTGTAGAGACCTGGCTGTCCGGTCTCTCTGCTGTTTATACATCTTATCTGGGTTGCATGTTCGATGTTGTGTTGGGACAGTAACGTGCATCAGATGAGAGGCGCTTGTGGTAGAATTCTTACCATAACTCTAGGAAACAGACACCGTTCCGTCCCATGACACTCCTCAGGCTTCAGAAACTGAATTGGAGATACAATCTTGGCATTTGCAATGTTGTTGAAGCAATCTCTAGAAAGAATTCCTCAATCAAGGACATCTAAGGTTTTGAAACCTTAATCATCTTTGCATCAGAACACCGGCTTTATTTCTGTTCTCCTTGATTCACAAAATGCTTTGTCTGTATTTCTAGAAGCTAGTTGATTGACAGTAGGCTCTAACCCAACTCCTCAGCCTTTTTAGACAACAGTGTGAGAGCAGCTATGTGAATGGGCCAGAGGGGTCCTCATCTTTTACCAAAGCTCTATATTGAATCATTCAGAAGAGGGAGATGCTTGCTTATGGTGGTCAACATTCCGTGCTTTTGACCCTTCTAGAACGTGTGGCCTGAGGGACGGGAGTGGGAGTGAGTGTCTGTACAACATGAGTGGGCCTCTATTACATGGAAGTTTCAAGTTCATGGGTTAAAAATAAGAAGAATAAAATTGGTACCCTTCGTTAGCCATTCATGCTTCAGACAGCATTAAAGGGAAATGTCAATAATTTCAAATTCAGTAAGTTGTTCTTACAGGAACATACATTTTAAAAAGCTTTCTGTAGTGCTTAGTAAAATTCCCATTTCAGCCCTTGCCTTCAACCATTTCGGCTTTCCTTTGCCTTACTGAAGTCCTTTTGTACCTTCTTCACTCCTCATGGATAGTACAGTTGGCATCAGAAGTTACAGCACTTCCCCTTTGTCCAGCAACTTGGTGTGGTAGGTTGTGTTTGCAAATCTGAGAGCATCCCGCCCACCCCCTGGATCTATGCAATAATGCACCTGCAGCGTAGCATGTGTAATCACAGCACTGATTTCCATTTGTGGCTCTACAGTACCTGAATGCATTAATATTTCTGTCTATACAATTTCATTTAATTAGAGCCATGTTTATAATCCTCTTGGGAAAAATTCTTTGTGCTCCCAGTATTAAAATAAAGTGCCTTTGGTTTTCATCTGGCTGACAATTTCCTTTAGAGGTGAATAAGCCAACAGTTACTTTTTCTTCTGATAGTCAAACGAGAGGAATAGCTGTGGAGAGAATAAAGGAGCCCCTGGATTTAGAGCGTTGGATGTTAGTCCCCTTCAAGCCCCTGTGTCTAGCTGTCTCTGAGATAGCCATGTCTCGTTTTTCTGGTGGCTGGTAGGTGCTGCTGAGCCAGTATAGATACTAAGTGCATGACTGTAGCGAAAGTAAAAAAAAAATGAGTGCGTGGAAGTCAGCCTAGAAGTTAGACCAAGTACATTAAGTCTTTAGTGTGGGGTTCTCAGCTGTTTGCTCTGTTGTTCTCAGAAAAGAGCCCACATACCAGGTTAACAATCTCCTGGGGTCTCTGATGGCCGCTAAGTCCAGGGGTCCAGTAGGTAATCATTGCTGCCCACAGGTTACTCAGGGCCTGAGAAGCACATCGGGCCTTTTCCCCTTGTGGTCCTCTGTTGTGGATGGGTGTCTTTACGGAACCTTTCACAAAGGGCTCCTGACCTCAACTTACAGCTTCCGGGTCAGGTTCCACAAGCACTCAGGCTCTGGCCTACTGCCAGGAGATCTCATCAGGCAAGAGGATGCCTCCTTCTGACCCCACTGGACAGGGAGCATCGCACATGGTCCCAGGGCCAGCAGTGAAGACGCCCCATCAGTGTAGCTGTGAGGCCAGGAACTTTGTAGAAGTGACCACTACAGAGAAGCCACAGTACTCCAAAGGCACAGCACAAAGATAAAATGGCAGTCGGGAATATATGCACTGTGAAGGTGACCCCCCACCAGACCCCGGTTGCTGGGCTGGTGGTAAATCCCCCGCAATGCAAAGTCGAAAGTTCTGAGGTAGGAGACTGGAATGAAGTACCCTCTTTTCGTACAGACAAGCACAAGATTCTTGTGAGTCCTTAGTGAGTCCTTCTGTCTTTGAGACAGAAGTCATTATATTATGAAACAGCATCTCTCTTTTTTTTTTCTCTCACCCTGGTGCCATTCCATTTGAAGACCCCTTGACTGTGCCAAGCTTCTCTACCAACATTTTCACCTATGTAAAAAATATAACAAAGCAAAGCTATTTCCAGGAATGAAGTTAACTATTGATGTCTAGATGTGATTAGACTGGGGGCTTATTTGAGGAGTGTAGAGTATTTATTAGATGATGTCATGATAGTGTGCTTGAAATCCTCAAATTAAAACTCATTTGAGGCCGGGCGTTGGTGGCACACGCCTTTAATCCCAACACTCGGGAGGCAGAGGCAGGCAGACTTTTAAATATTGTCTTTTTGGGGTTGTGGTTTTGGTACAGTGAGATAGTGATGGAAAAATTAATTAAATTATCTGGGGCTATAGCTCAGCTGGGGAAGGGCTTGCTGAGCATGTGTGAAGCTGTCAGTCCAGTCCCTTGCACTGAATAACCAGGCATGGTCACACTTTTGGGGTGTGCAATCTTAGCACTCAGAGGGTAGATAGAAAAGAAAGTATGAGACCAGTTGGAGGCCAGCCTGGGCTACATACATAGTGAGTTGGAGGCCAGCCTGGGCTATAGGAGAACATTTCAAAGAAAAGAAGGCAAACAAACAAACAAAAAAACAAACAAAATCCCTACACATTATAGTCTTTGGATTTAGAAATCATCACTTTCCCACTTACTGGTATAGCTCATTCTTGCCGGATTTGAGTTTCCAATCATACTCTGATTAGAAGCTGGGGACGTTGCCAGAGAAGAGGAAGCACGGTTTGAATGCATTGGTGACATTCAGTATGTGGCTTGGAAAAATAGTGTTGGGAAGATCCTTTGGAAAACTACTCTTAGGCCTCCTGTTTTTCACGGCTCACCTGTCCCTCCTTATTCTGGGAACAAACCACTGGAGTGGACCTTTCCCATGTTTTTGTTTGCTTATTTTTGTTCTTAAATCAAAATAGAAGGCGTGTCTAATCTGATGACGCCAGTGGGCTGCGTGTATCCCAGGGTAACTATAGGTTGTGGGCGACAGGGCCATGTTGTGGCATCCAAAGGTTGGACAACCTGTGGGCAGGCCGATGTCCCACGTGCCCCTCCCACCTTTCGCTGAGAGTCTCACACCTCCATTGCAACATTTCATTCTCTTTTCTCCCTCCCCTTTTCCTAACAGCAGGAACGGGTTTCATATACACCTCCGGAGAGTCCAGTGGCGAGCTACGGTTCCTCAACTCCACTTCATGTTCCTGTGCCTCACGCGCTCAGGATGGAGGAAGACTCGATTCACCTGCCAGCGCACCTGCGTGAGTGTTTGCCTCCAGGCTGACGGAGGCTGGGGAGGGGAGGAACCCACAGAATGCCGAGCCCAGCAGGGTGGATCCCAAGGAGAAGCTCTGGGGCTGAGATGGTGTCCATGGGACATGGCCAGCCGTCCTGGAATCTTTGGCCTTCACCTCATAATGGCTTTGAAAAGTTTGACATTCTTGTCCCTTATTTCTCAGTATTTTCATTCATATCTGATAAGGACGTGGCAGGGGACAAAAAGCTAGAAATACCTAACGCATGACAGAGTTAATGTCATCTAGGAGGCCAAATGAGGTTTGTTTTTTTTCCCCCTCAAAGTTTTTAAACTCCCTAAGTTCTTACTCCAGCTTCATATTTTCTTTTACCCAGTTGTGGATTCAGACTCACTGCTTTTTTAAAGTGACTTGTGTGTGTGTGTGTGTGTGTGTGTGTGTGTGTGTGTGTGTGTGTGTGTGTGTGTGTGTGTGTGTGTCGGGAAGGGGGGGTGGGGGACAGGTCATGCTGGGGTGTGTGCCAAGTTACATATGTGGAGGTCGGAGGGGATCTTTGGGGAGATGGCTCTCTTCTTCCACCATTGGGTCTGAGGAGGTGTGAACTTGGGCTAAGCATGCCTGGCAAAAACGCCTTTACTTGCCACACCCCCCACCCCTGTTTCTTTTCTTTCTTTCTTTCTTTCTTTCTTTCTTTCTTTCTTTCTTTCTTTCTTTTTTTTTTTTTTCTTCGAGACAGGGTTTCTCTGTGTAGCTTTGGAGCCCATCCTGGCACTTGCTCTAGAGACCAGGCTGGCCTCGAACTGCCTCCCGAGTGCTGGGATTAAAGGCGTCCCCATTCTGTTTCTAAAGCCACAGCTTCCCCTTCTCTAAGGTCCCTCTCCCTTTCTCCATATACTGGCTACTTTTCTTTCCTTCATTTTTATGCCGTCACTGTGTTCACCCATCTACTCCTCTCCCTCTCTCCCTTTCCGTGGCCATACTTTGCCACAGTGGCTTCACCCTTGTCTCCCAGGTCACACCTGTTTTTTCTTCCTTCCATCACCTTCCATCTGAGTCTTCATCTACATCTAGGCAGAGCATTGAGACCAGCATGCCTATGTGACCAGTGTTAGTCTCCAAAGCATCGACCCCTGCTGTGTCTTTTTTGTCCTTTCCTCTTTGTCTATTGGTACCCAGCCCAGGGGATAAAATGTGACTGGTGTGCAAGAAAATGCCAGTGCCTCTGGCTTGAGTGTTGTTTCAAGGGCACATGTCCAGGTTCTAAAGGGCACTGGGGTCGGATTAGGCCTTTCCAAAGCGATTCCCAGTGACTTGAATGGCAAATAGTGGTGCTCACTGTCCCTTGGCATGATGGTGGTCCCCAGATTGTCCTGCTTTATCTGTCCCTCCTCGGGAGATGGCTTGTCTGAGTAGGGAACAGTGGGGGACAGGGGATGCATGATTTGTGTTGGGGGTGGACTTGGAGCAGTCCTGTGGGTCTTCCCTTCTCTTCATGGTAAGGATGACCCTGGGATTCATCGGGGGCACTGGAATCCTTCTTTGTGCTGCTGGTGTTTGGAAAGTGTTGCCTCCTGTGGTCCAGACAGCTCTGCTTCCTACCTTATGCAAGGAGGTAAAAGGCACAGCTCCCTTTTCCTTTGCCTTCTCCACAGTAGTCTTGCAAAGCAGAGGTTGTGTCTGTAGAGCTGCAGGTAGGGTTATCCTCCATGAAACTATTGCAGTACCAGAACTGGAAAGGAAACAGCAAATTTGCCTTCAGACATGGTCCTGTGACCAGTGTATTTACTTCAGGAGTGAACTACCAAACTTCACTTACTTATTTTGCCAGTCACTGACTGGTAGCCTGTGTCCTAGGTACACCAGGTACTGAGATCCCCAAAGTAGAATTCCCTGCTTCTACAGAGCTTAAAAATTATAATTATCCCAGAGAGGGTGGGTTTTTTTTAGCCTATTTTTGTTCCTATATTTTGCAACACTCCTCGAGGGACCCTAACTCCTGCTAAGCCTCAGGGCACCTTTGACATACATGAGAAGTTGTCATAGAAAAACAAACAACCTAGCAATCTAACAAGCAGACTGAACTGGCAATTGGATCTTCGTCCTGAGCTCATTTTGCCATTTAGTTGTGAGCTGTGTGTCATTTATTTTAGTCTTTCTTCCCTTCATGTTTGCATTTGGAAAAAGAGGATGCTTAACAGCCCTTCTTATTTGAAAGATGGCAAGTCTCATCTCCACCATCATCATCCAGACCTGGAACTATCTTTCCTTAGCAACACTTAGTCTCCTTGAGAAGGCAGCTTCCTCACTGAGCCACCTCTCTCCTGCTTCCCAGCATATGGTCAAGTGTATCACACTATCATAATAGCTACTAGTAAGATGGGCATGGTGGCACAGGCCTTTAATTCCAGCACTGAGAGACAGAGGCAAGGCAGTCTCTGTTACTTCAAGGCCAGCCTAGTCTATAAATTGAGTTCTTGGACAGACAGAGCTCATAGAGAGACCCTGTCTCAAAACAAACAAAATTAATAATGCCTAGTAATTATGATGGCACTATAGGAAGTATTGCATATATAATATTATTTTATTTCCATCTCACTTTAATATCTGTAAACATAGATTTTTCTCTTTATTTCCATAGCGTACATAAAGGCTATCTCCACGTTACATGTAAAGGCTTACAGATTTTTATTTTATTTTTTATTTTTGGCAATGCTAGGGATCAAAGCCAGGACCTTGTACATGTTAGGCAAGCACTCTGCCATAGAGCTTTTTCCCTAGCCCAAGGTGTCAAGAATTTAAGTAGTTTTTCAAAGTTGGTCACAGAACTAGTAAGATGGCAGGTTCAAGATTCAAATTCAGTCTTGTCTAATCCTACAGCTTAGTTTCTTACTGTGTATGCCACTGTGCAGCCATGTGTTTAATGCACCTTTTTTTTTATGTGGACAAATGAATTTAGGGCTGCTGCTTGGCCAGTTGCACTGATGTGGCCCCAGAATATATTAGTGGCAGGAACCCATTCTCTGAACTATTGCTCTGTTGCTGAAGAACTCAAGTGTCACCCCTGGGTAGTTGGGTGAGTGGGTAGATGGATGGATGGATGGATGGACAGACAGACAGATGGGTGGATAAGATAAGATAGATGAAGAATTCTTGGATAGATAAGTGAATGGATGCATGGATGGGTGGGTGGATGGATGGATGAATGGATGGATAGACAGATGGACAGGTGGGTGGATGGATGGATGGACTGATGGGTGGATGCTCACCAAGACACTTGCCCACTGTGGAGTTGTAGTACATTGCTGCTGGCCTTGGGTTAATTGCTAAATTATGGATTCATGTCAGGGCAGTGGTTTTGCTAGACTGTCTCAGCTGTGGCAGTCCAACTTAAGTGATAGCTCTCCTGTGGTAGTCTGCAGAAGCCCTGTTGTGACATGGTTGGTTTCAACAACATCTGGAATGAATCCTCTAGAAGTAGAGGTTCCCAGGCTCTTGCTGCCTGCCCTCTGCCGGGGCTTTCCAGGCGAGCCAGCCAGCTTCCCTCCTCCCTCTTCTAGTCCAGGACTGCCTGCTCCTTACTGTATTTGAGGAACTCAGTGGTCACTGACTCTGTGGAGTTGGGCCATATGCTTGAAGATATAGCCCAGCTGGGTTTCCAAACCTTAAAAAAAAAAAAAAATAGCAAGGGGATTAGGTTACTGCTGTTTTAAGCTGGGATTCCAGACAATTCCCAGTAGAATGTTCGTGGAAAGTACGGGGAAGACTCTGAGAGCCAGGGCAGCATCAGGACATTTATGGTATTGCGAGGTTGGGAACATTTCTCAGAGGCTGTTTTAAAAGAAGTACCAGGCTAGTACCGCTCCCAGTAGCTTCTTCTTGCCATTTATCTTGTTCTCCAGCTTAATTTTCTTTTCTTCTCTTGTTCTTAGATGAAAATAAGGTTTGGAAAGTGTGTGTTTGGGGGGTGGGGGCAGGAATCTAATAGCTGGGATTCTCACAGAGCCTCAACCACTGTGTTCACAAACACAAGTCTAAAGTGAAGCCCCAACCTGGCAAATTAACAAACTATGGAGAGGTTAAAAAAAAAAAAGGCCTTGCCCTATGTTTGCAGCTGTGATAAAAGGGAAGTGGTAAATGAAGCCAGTGTTAAGTGATGATCAGGAGGTGCTGAAAGGACATGTGCGCCCATACAAGCCTTGGTGGAAGAGTCCCTGTCACCTTGGTCCTCAGTGCCCAGAACTGCAGATGCTGCTGCTTAGTGGTCCTTCTGCTGACTTCCTGTTCGTTGGAGGACAGATAATGTTTTCAGAGAGGATAGAAAAACAGGACCTCCTCTTCCTCTTCCTCCTCCTCCTCCTCCTCTCCTTCCATAAAGCATGCTGAATTGTTTATAAGCCTGAGAGAGGAAGGGCTGAAGTATAGTCATAGCAGGCCATGAAAACCAAAAGTTACCTTCCTTGTACTAAGCACAGTCCTTCTAGATGTGTGAACCCATGAAGGACCCCAGGGGTTGCTGGGTAGGGTTCACAGTTGGTCCTCATCATTGGAAAGGGGAAGTCTTTCCCTGTTCTCATGGGGGGCAGGGCTTGCCCTGAGAAGGAGGGACTTAGTCTGCTGGGTAGCTACCTTTTGTCAACTTACTAGGAAGTGAGGCACAGCAAGGTGCTACCACTGTGCTTCCTGCAGAGGCTGCTCTGCAGGATTTGCATCCCATTGACCAGATGCCTGAGCAAATAGGCCTAAAAGGTTGCAAGTGTTATTTTGGTTCAGGCTTCTTGTAGTCTGCAATCTGTGGCCACTGGCTCCTTTGTTCTGGGCCCCTGGCAAGAGCAATAGCTTTAAGGAAGCAAAGATAGAGACAGGGAGATGGCAAGGGAAGGATACGTGTTCCCACAGACTCTTCAAGGACACCTTCAGTCATTTAGCTTCTTTCTGTTAAGCCCCACCTTCTAAGGGTCCCACCATATTCTAATAATACCGTAGGCTGGTGTCCAAGCCTTTAGCAT